TTGATTAAGACGGCGCTTAATTCTTCAACCATTGTCTCTATTTCTTTGTAATTCCTTAATCTGAAGAAGAATAACTGACGACTATTAACGCGAATAATTGGAGACAACGCGTTAAATTTTTGCGTGCTTGTTATTATGTTGATACTGTTATGTCTACCTCTCACATATAACTGATTTAATAACGGACTGTTGCGTGAAAAACTCTTTGAATCAGCAAAGTCGTCTACTATAACAAGTATCGAATGTAATTTATTGTGGTTATTCTTTTTTTGATATTCTATAATTTTATGTTGTTTGTTTATAACTTCTTCTAATTCCGAAGGGTTGTATTCGTCAAAGAAAACTTTTTCCTTCTCTAAATCTACCTTCAATTCGTTTTGAATGTATCTTTTAACAGGGAGCCAATTAGCGTCAACGCTAATTGAGGGCGACCACACATATATTCTCGCGAAGACGTCCTTATAAATGTCTAATATCATTGACTGTAATAAAATACCTTTACCGCTTCCAGAAGGGCCAGTTATTATTTGACTAAAAGGCAATCTCGGGGCTACTTCGTATTTAGATTGTTTGAACTCGTATTCTTTGACATTGATAGGTTTAACTATTGGAATGTTTGACATTATTCATAATACATAGAATATTTTATAAATTATTATATATGCGTGATTATGAAAGCTATATAGAGACTATAAATGAAATAGAGAAATTAGATGAAATAATAAAAATTCCAAGATACAGAATGTGTTGTCGTAGTTTGTTAGAGTTCTTGAAAGCCGTTTGTTATTATCTTAAGAATATTAAAAAATCTAAATGATATAAATGTCGGAAACAACAGGAGAGAGTAACGACAAAGGATTTCGCATAAATACAAGTGGTATTTCTTGTATTCCTTGCCGTTGTAAGAGGCAGTTTTATCATAAAGAAACAAAAACAATAAAGGAAGAGAACAAAGTAACAACAAATACAATAGTTGATAAACGAAATACTAAATTCGGCGGTAACGGTCGTCATGCATCACCAGATGATATTTTTAAACCAGATTCTGATTTACAAACAGGAAGCGTTGAAATATGTAATACAGGATGGGGTGAAACACGAATAACACCCGAAGAATTAGAAGAGCGTGTAGAGAAAATTGAAACGGATATTAATTTAATGAAAAAAGATATTGAAGTCATAAATAAGATAAAAATTAAGTCGGATTAAAGATTTGTTTATATTATATATCTACACAAGAAAACACGTGAGCGTTTTCGGTATTAGTTTTAAAGAAATGAATGTCTTTAAAACTGACAGGGCATAATCGCCAGCTTTTGGAAGAAGGAGAAGAAAACCCCGATGCAGTAGCCCCACTGTTTCACGTTGGACGGACACATGAAAGGGGAAAGTAGTGTGACGCTCATCAGAGCCTCGTGAGCTTTACAGTGCTCGCGTCACGTTCAATAGCATCTCATAAGCAGTTGCTTAATTCGTTTGTTCCCCTTTTGTATCCCTATGGATTTTAATAATAATAAATGTTATTATTATTAATATGAATAATATAGTAGAATTTAAATTAACAAACGAACCAAACGAAGGTTACAATCAAGACATCGGATTTTGTAAATATTGTAGTTGTTATGTTCCCAAATCTTATTTTATAGGTTGTTATGGCAAAATATGCAAAACGTGCGTTAAATGTCGTGAAAAACATTTAACATATATGTTATATGGGAAAACTTCTAAACATTTACCAGAACAAAATCTCAATAGCGAAAGTCGCTGAAAAATGCGATTATTATGTTACGGGTATTGATTTAGATTGTTGGACGAGTTTAGGATGGGAACAAAGATTATTAAAATATGAACCCGAAACATTTAAATTTATTTGGGCACAGGTTGATTTAAGAAAACCAGAGAATGAAACGCAGATTAAGAAAATAATTGAACACTTGAAACCGAAGGGGTGGTGTATTCAACACGTAAAAGAACCTTTGAGTGATGCCGATATTGAGGAGATTATACGCATTTAAAGGGTAGAATACGTAATAACGTATATGACCGAGGGTAAGGTGAGCACGGACATGATTTATAACACTATTGTAGAAAACCATAATATGACTCAATTAAAAATTAACGAGATTTTAGGAATTGTTCAACAATTGGTTAAGGATAAGGATAAGAAACCAATCACTTATGAAAAGAGCACAACAACACCAGTTGATAAAGGCGATAAAAGCGATTGGAGTAAGAAAAGAAAAACTTATATGGAAAGACTGAATAAGGGCGAAATTAAAGTCCCAAAAGAAGACTAATTACAATATTATGATATTGAATTTAACAAAGAACAAGAGAAATATCAATTTAAAGCAATTGCTAAAAGCGAGGAATGAGATGTGATTTAATATTATTTGATAATATTAAAACTCATCAAGGATAAATATGATATGAAAAGTTATTTAATTTGTAAATGGCGATTGTTTCTTCGAGTTCGCCGAGGGCTGTTTTGAATACAAGCCAATTATCTTTATCTTCGTTTTCGATAGGTATATATGTCCTTAAATACCATTCGGTGTAATGCGAAACTCCGTTTAATATATCTTTTATTACCTTACCTCGTATATCTTTACAAATTTCATCATTTACGACATATTTAAATATTATTTTACACGAGTGGTCTCTATACAGTTCAGAGTTATCAACTGTAAATATACATTCACCTAATGAAAATTTAGGATGCACGTGTATAGGTTTAGGATTTTTTACTTTAGCAGAAGGATTTATTAAAGGCTGTGTGTTTGTTTGTTGGGTTGATGTTGAACTTCCCATGATTAACGGTGTAACATAACATACCTTTAAACGTGTATTTATCATGGTTTGGATCACGGCGTATATTTATCATGGTTTAGATGGCGAAAGAACTTGGCACAAAATGGCTTAAAGGTATGAGACCATATTATATTAGTGATGAATTACTCTGATTTAAAAACTTATACCAGAACTCAGGCTAAGTATATTAGAAAGATATTTGAACAAAGGACGAGCCAAGACGAATATAAAAGCAAAATAACAGAGCTTTGGGAATTAAGAAACACTTATGAAGACATGTTTGACGAAGAAGATTTAAATAATATTCGCGACGATATACAAAGCTTGGAAAACAACATATCGAACGCCGAAAACTTAATCAAAAAATATTCTTGTATGATTGAACACATTGAAATACTTTGTCATTGCTACGGTGGTTCAGGAGAAACCGAATATTTAAAACGAAAGCCAGAAGGAGCCAACACATGGGTAGATATGACACTGAAAGATTTTGAAAACCGATATGGTCGTAATCTTGAAAATTTAGGCGAAACAGATGAGTCCGAAATGGAAAGCACCACAAGCACGAAAAGAAAACAGAAGAAGAAGGGAAGACAATAGGAAGATAACTTCATAAAATGTAGTTTAATATTATTATTATATAATATTAAATTTCATTAGAGGCACCTTGCCCCAACTATAAGGCTTATTGTTATTCTTGGGTTTACGGCTTGGGTTTACGGGTTGAGGAATAACGGGAATTTGTGGGGGAAGGTGTTTTTTCTTGGGTTTAGGCTTGGGATTTTTGGGATATGGTTTTACGTGGATTTTGGGAAAATATTTTTACAAAAATTTTAGGATAAAAATTTGTGAAAATATTTTACTGGGATTTTGGACGGAGAAGTAACGGGGATTTATGCTTAACGGTATAACGGTGATTTTTGGAAAATATTTTTACGGAAATTTTGGGTTAAAATTTTGGAAAATAGTTTTTTTAAAAAAAAAAATTGCGTTGATATTTGGCGGGCTGGTGTGCCGGCGGGTTACATAGTGGACTGGGGCGTGCCCTTCTGTAAGTCCGGGGCGGGTTCTGGGCGGGGCCTGCTCGTTGTTTCGTCGAATACAGGGCCCCATATTCCCGTAGAATCCTAACAAAGAGGAACCACGGTGTATTCAGTGTACTCCTCCTGAACATTGATTTAGTATGACTTCAAAACGGTGCCGAAAATGCTGCCAGGCCAGGTAGTTCGCACTTGTTGCTGCTCCGCCAGTCCGCAAGACTTCTTAAAACAAGAAACGTCCAGTAGGTCAGAACTATTGTATTGGGGCAGATTGGGGCAGGGTTTTGGGAATGGACGGCTTCGGGCTGGCGGGCTGCTGGCCTCACATTCCGGCGTTCTGGGCCATGGGCCAGTTCCAGCAGCCAGGTTCGGAACCGATTTTGGCAGAATACTGCAGGACTGGTTTCGGGGCAACGGATCGGTTTGCGGGGAGGTTCTGAGGTGGGTTCCGGGTGGTGCATACATCCGAAAATGCACATCGATAAGCCGCTCAAACCCAAATTCATTTCCCGAGGCCTGCTAATTCGGCGCTTAATTGAGCTCTCGACGCTCCCGACCAAGCCCAAATACATTTTCCAAGGCTTGCTAAACGCATTAGTCCCTAGTTTCAACAAATTTGGTGTTCAACCTGGTGTTCAATGCCGGGGATGCAGTCATCATCAACTGCTCGAATACAGTTGCCGGAGCTCCGATCAAACCCAAACGCGTTTGCCAAGGCCTGCCAAACGCATTCGGCCTAGTAAGCCTAGTTGCGCTTAAACTGCTGTTCATTGCCATCCCCACAGCCGAACATGCTTCAACTTGTCCTGATGCAGCAACAGCCCACAAACCAAAGTAAACACATTCGCCCCTTGTTTCGGCAAATCTTGAGCTGAATGACGGCCGGGCATGAACCACCCATCTACAGCTTTTTCAGTATAGTGTGAACCGAAAGACAACCATTCAGCTGTTCAGGATCTTGAATGGCATTAATGATTTTGGTAACCAAGGATGCATGAGTGTAGACCTTGACTGCACGTGAGGCATCAATGTTGCATGTGCTCCTTAAGAACCCAACTGGTGCATGGATTCCGTACAGCAGCCAAGCTCCTGACACAAGCAGGCCAACAAGCGTGCTGTGGCCTCTGCAATCTTTGTCTTTTCTCGCAG